GTGTCTCCTGTCCCCAGAGCAAAGCTCATCCCCCAAAAGCAGAAACAACCCAACTCATCTAGTGTGAGTGGACAGACAGGGCCTGCGACCACAGGGAGGTCACTTCACCAGAGAAGGAACGAGATGCTGCTGAACACCCCGATCCTGGGGTGCAGTGTGCTAGGTGACGGGGGCCAACCGAAGAACACATGTCCTACAATTCCGTCTGTCAATGTCACTGGGCGAGGGGTGACCCAGAAGCTGGACGGCGTGACTTCTGGGTGGGCCTCTGAGGATGTTTCCAGAAGAGACTGGAGTCTGAATCACAGACTGAGAAAACCACATCCTGTCCCCCAGTGTAGGGGGTCCCTGAACACGCCTTGGGACTCGGGCTGGGACTCCCGGCTCTCAGGCCTTCAGGCTTGGGGTGGGACCAGCAGCAGCTTCCCCGGCCTCCGGCTTGTGAAAGACCATGGCCTCCTCAGCCCCATACGCTCATAAGCAGACCTCTCAGGATCAGTCTCTGTGTGTATATAAGCATACATCACAGGTAGCACGTTAGTATGATAACTTAAATACATAACTATTGTGTAGTTAGTATGTGATGACAACATGATACACAATAACACATAATATATGATAAATTGATAATAATTAGATATATAATTATAATAATAATGAGAAATGATATATAATTGTATGTACTATGTTAGTATACTAATTGTACTAATGTCATTTTTACATATTATTTTAATCATAATGTATGATTGGAATAAACAGAATTTTCTGGTTGGTTCTCTTTCTCTGGAAAACCCTAACTAATACAGATTTCATTTGTATAAAGTATCCAAAACAGGCACATTCACAGGGACAGAAAGTGCAACGGTGGTTTCCAGGGCGTAGGGCAGGGGAAATGGGAAGTTTCTGCTCAATGGGTAAAGGATTTCCATCTGGAGTGATGAAGAAAATCCCAGAACTAGGTGGTGGTGACCGCTGCCCGATCTTGAGTGTGACAAATAGCACACTGATCTGCAGACTAACGAGAGTGGATCTGTGATGTGTGATGTGTTTCAGGCAGACACACACACGGACATGTCACCAAAACAGACAGCAAGGGAGAGGATAGATAAACGGCCACAGCCCACCTGAACTTCGCGTCATCGAAGGCTGCGCCCCCAGAGTGACCTCTGGAATGCGGGAAGTGGTTGCCGTCACCTGTCTGATGAGCGTTGATGACTGGAATGTATCAAGAACTCAACAGCCAGGAATGAAATACCTCAGTCAAAGACGGGCCACAGACTTGGGCGGACATTTCCCCAAAGACAGTCCACAAAGGAGCACCAGATACGGAGAGGGCCACCCAGCTGCACGTCCCCAGCCACAGGGAAATGCCATCTCAACCACAGCGAGTCACCACACACCCACCAGGATGGCGACCACCCAAACCCAGAAGATACTGTCAGCAGGATGTGGGGGGACCGGGAGGCTGTTCACTGCTGAGACAACTGCCCTGGGTCCCTCAAAGAATTAAAACTGGAAGTGTCACACCCCCGGGCAGTCTCACTGCCGGGTCTCTGAATCACTAACAAAGCGCACCACATGCGTACAAAGGGACCTTAGTCAGCCGTCAGAGGAAGGAAACTCCCACAGGAGGCAGCGGGAACGGTGGCCAGGGTGGGGAGGGAAAGGGAGGGTTGTTTAATAGGCGCAGAGGTTCAGTTTCACAAGATGACAACATTGCAACGATACCTAACACCACCAACTGCACAACGCAAATGAATCCAGACGGTAAATTTGTCGTTTTAAAAATCACAATAAAAAGTAAAAATAAAACAAAAGAAATAAAATTCCCTCTGGGGGAAACACTCGGAGCATGGCTGGTGTGTCCTCTGCCTGCCCAGCTGTGCTGCAGAATCACATCCTCCGCGGACCCAGGGACCCCCCAGCACAGCACGGCACCTCCCTGACGCAGACCCCGGAGGAGGAGGCAGGGAGCACCTCTCTGTCTCCAGGCTCAGCCCGGCACCTGCTCACGCTCACCAGATCAACTCCACAGCAACCACGTGGTGAGGTCAGGGGGCTACAAACAGGTCAAGGCCAGGCAACGGGACCTGTCCCAAATCACAAAGCCCGCAGCTGGTGAGGGAAGGCGTGCACTAGACTCCTGGGCTGGGCTGAGAACTTCCTTCCACCACCTGCCCCCAAAGTCAACAGGAATCGCAAGTTCAACAGGGATTTGCAGCAGCGGTTCTCACTCTGGACTAGGGGGGCTTAACTTTCTTGTATTTTGCTATTCCAATTAAAGTTTGATCCTTTTTCTAAAATGACACACATAAAAAATTAGATAATAGTGTTCAAAGGGTTTCAAATGGCTGCTTGTTTTCAGGATCTCCTCATCTAAGAACCAACTGCGAGCTCTTTTTAAATGTATGTCCCCTGGGAGTCTGGTTGTCAGTCCAGGGCCACCCCCAGGGATGCGCTGGGACACAGAGGACTCTGGGTTGGAGGCGCCCAGACACACAGATTGTGGGCTGCTGCCTCCCAGATCTCTGACTGAGGACTCCTCCGGCTCCTGTCCCCTCCGCCAGCTGCCCACTGAGCCTGGCCACTAGAGTGTTCCACCACAACCTAACAGAAGGACCACTCTGGGGTCCACACCTTTGTCTCCTCCGGGTCACCGGATCAGAAGCTCGAGTGTCACCCTGACCAGGGCAGGCTGATTCTCACTCGGGGCCTCTTCTGTCCACCGCCCCTACCGGAGCCCTGGCCCAAGCTCCCAGCCTGTCCTCCATCCTGCGGGCCTGCCCACATCCCTGCCCTGCCCACAGCCGTCTTGATGGTGGAGCTGGAGAACCACACCGTCCGACACGCAGCCTCGTGTGGCCGTTCACATTTCAATTAACTAAAGGGAAATAAAATCAAGTGTTCTGCCCCTTGGTCACACGAGGCCGTTTTAATGCTCAATGCCACAGGCATGGAGTGGCCCCATACCAGAGAGTGCAAATAGAGCACATGTCCATCCTGCCAGAAGTTCTAGTGAACAGAGACGTCCTAGAACTTGTCTTGTCAGCCCTTAGGGGTCTGGACCCGGCCACTAGCCAGCGCCTCTGGTCTGGAGCCACAGGGAACCACCCTCACCACCCCAAACTCACGGTCTCACCTCCAGGCCTCTGCACGGACAGCCACCTTCCCTGACCCCTTAAGGGCCCCCAAGCTTCAGGTCCCAGCTCAGCTGTCACCGCCCCCTCCAGCAGGATAACGGCCCAAGCTTCTGCTCATCAAGCGGTTAAAGCTCCAAGTTGCGGCAGCCTGGGTGCTTACCCCCCGCCCCACACCGTGGCTTTTAAGTGGAGGCGCTTCCCAGAGGCCACTTGGGGGTCTACAGAATTTACTGGATGCTCCTGGATCTGGTGAGTAGAGGCCAGGGATGGAACCATGCCCAGGGATGCTAAAACGTCCTGCGATGCCCGGGACGATTCCCACGACAGAGAAGGATCTGGCCCCAAGTGACAGGTATGTTGAGGTCAAGCAACCCTGCCCCGAACTTACAGCTCCGTAAGGCAGGACCCTCGTCTCCAGCCACCAACCCAGTCAGGCCCACGGGAGAGTCTCACCGAAAACTGAACACATGAGCTTAGCTATCCGGTAAGTTTCTTTACCAGAATTCTAGCTCTCTTACTGGGCCATTCTTCAAATCACTGGTCGTCACAGTCAGATGAGTAACACCCCCCCACACAATAAGTAGGTCCTAATCTCTGGAACGTAGCCTTATATGCCAAAAGGGACTGTGGGCCTATTTATTTAGGGATCTTGAGAGGATCCTAGATTGGCCTGGTGGGCTTCAAAGCCACCAATAATCTCCTTTTTGGAGAGAGGTACAGAGAGACCATAGGCACACACAGAGGAGTAGGTCAGGTAAAGGTGGCCCCACAAATGCCCACAGCCACCAAGAGCTGGAAAAGGCAAGGAGTAGGTTCCCCCCCCCGCCCCCCGGCCCAGTGCCTCCGAAGCGGTTGGACGGACCCTGCCGACACGTTGGTTTCAGCCCAGAAAACCTGCGCGTGGACCTCTGGCCTCGAGAGCTGCAAGAGGACCAACTTCTGATGTTTTAAGCCAACGTGTTTGGGAGAATGTGTTAGTTCCTATAGGAAACTGATGGAGTCTATTCTACTCTGGGGTTATTGGATCTAAATCAGAGAACTGAATGTAAAAAAAAAGATTTTGAAAGGAATGGTATTGGGCATAGAGGTGTAGCTCAGTGGTAGAGCACCCTCCTGGCATGCGTAGGGCCCTGGGTTCAATGCCCAGTGCTCCAAAAATTAAATAATAATAAAGATGATGATGAAGAAGAATGGCATTGGGATACCAGGGCCCCTGCCTCTAGGCTGTGAATATCTCTAGATGCAGCAGGTGCTTGGCTGTGCGCAGCCATGTTCATGGGTCATTTCCCTGGTCCTACTGCCTGGGACAGGCGGGTGGGTGTGTGACCTGACCCAGGCCAAGTCTGTCTGGCCAGAGCTGAGCAGGGACTGGAAGAAAAGTCAAGCCCTCCTGCTGGTACAGCCTCCTGCCCCCCGCCCCCCTCCACTGCCCCCTCCACTGCCCGGTGGCCCCGGTGCTGTCTCCCTGACCTTCTGCCACAGCCTCGGGCCTTTGCCCTCTCCTCCCTTCTCTTCCTCCAGAGTCCCCAAGGCTGACTGCTCCTCTTCATCCAGGTCTCAGCTCAAAGGCCACCTCCTCAGAACTTTCCCTGTGGCTCTCCTTCCCCACCCTCTCACATCCTATAATTACCTCGTCAATCTCTTTGTCAGACTGACCGTTCCATGTCAGCACACACCTGTCCCACACTGCAGGCTCCGGGGGTCAGGGATGGTCTCATCTGTCCACAGTCTGTCCCCTGGCCCACAGTAGGTTCAGGGATATTTGGAATGGATGGAGGGATGGTGGTAGATGGGTGGACGGGCGGATGGATGAATCTGCAGCTTTGGCGCCTGCGTGCCCAGAGCCCAGTCCCAACATACCTGATCTTGGCTTTCCTAAAGGCCAACTCCTCTTCATTGCCAAAGTCCAGGGACACGTCCTCGGTATCATCTACCAGGGCCTGGGGACATCAGGGCCGATGGAGGGCAGGCCCCGCTAACCACCACCGGTTCCGCACCCCGGGGCTGGTCTCTGCGCGCCTCTTTGGTTCCCCAGCGATTCCTTGGAGACCTGAGGCCTCCTGCTGCCTCCTGCTCACGGGCCCAGCGCAGCCTTAGGCACTGGGGTTGGTGCCTCCCGGCTCCTCCCGGCCTCCGCCTGCGCTCCCGCCGCCGCCTCCCGCTCGCCATCCCCCTGCCCGCGGTGATCTCTGCGCTCCTACCTGCTTCATCCTCCCGGGAGCCCACAGCCCAGGATCCAGGTCCGCCCGTTGCCACCGAAGGTCTCGGGTGCCCCCGGCTTCAGCCTCGGGAACGCGCAGGGGCTGGGAGGCCCGGGAGCTGGCCCTGGAGCGGGCCGGGGGAGCGCAGTGGCCGGCTGGGGAGGGGCTCGTTCCCGGGCTCGGCGGGGAGGGTCCTGCCGGAGGGGAATGCGCCCCAGCCCCGGAGCGCAGGGGCCAGGGCGGGTGCCAGGGGAGGGGACAGGTCCGGGGGACCCAGGACAGGGATCCTGGGAAGAATAGTGGGGTCAGGAAGGTTGGGCACGGTGCAGAAAGGAGGAGGGAATGGACGGACGTCAGAGCCTGGCAGCCGCGTTCAGGGGCTCAGAGGATCCGCCTTAGGAAACGCATTCCCAGGCCTGGCCCGGTCCCCACGGATGGCGGCCCCGGAATCTGCCTGTTCCCAGGGACCCGCTGCAGCCTCGCTTTGGTTTGCAAAGGCTGTGAGAGCCCGGAGCACGCGCAAGGCGCCCGGAGCGGGAGGGGGTGGGTGGGGGGTGCGGGTGGGGGGGGGGGGTGGGGTGGGGGAGGGGTGTAGGGTGGGGGGGGGGTGCGGTGGGGTGGGGGTGGGGGGTGTAGGTTAGGGGTGGGGGTGGGGTGGGGTGGGGGCCACCAGACACTTTGAGCACCACTGGCTATTATTAAAGAGCATTTCCCAGGAAAGGTTTATCATCTGAGGGTCTTTCCTGGCCCAGGACAGGTCACTCCCCCTCCTGCAAGCCCTCTCCCCCTCCTGCCCTCCCACTGCGCAGAGGCAAGCTGAGGGTCCAGGTGCTAAGGCCACAGCCTGTTGCTCCCTCTGCCTTGGGGCAACAATTGGCCCCAAAGGCAGGTGGGCCCCAGCTCCCCCCTGTCTGCCGCTGGCCACCGGTGGGTGGAGTCGGAGATGCTTTATCTCTGATCCCTGGACTGGACCTGGGGGCTTTCTGCCTCACCTCCACCATGGCCATTCCTTTAGCTGACCTTCAACTGCCCTGAGGGGGTATGGAGGAGGAAGTGTCCTCAGAGGACGACAGGCCAGCCTCAGGAGCCAGGCCCCTCTAAAGGTATTTCCCAAGCCATGTGGCAATTCTGGTAGCTTCTAAATGTACCTCCACCCAGGTGCCACAGAGACCTGAAGTCAGGCTCTGCGGGTGTTTCCAGAGCTCCCAGGTGTGGGTAGCCGCGTGAAGACCCAGTGCTCCAACCTGATGCTTCCCACACTGGAGGATGGACTCAAGGGCCTGGGGCAGCCTAGAGTGTGGGTTCTGGCTTCCCCCAGCTGCCAGGTGGGGCCAGGGCTGCAGATCTCGGCAGCACCGGGAGCTGTGAGGATCTAAGCCACTGGGGCCTGGATTTCTAGAAAGTCCTACTGACTCCTCCTGCCCAAAGCTGGCTCTGGGCACACAAGGGTCAGACAGAGGAACCCCGTCTCTCCTGCCCCCCGTCCCCCACAGCCCAGGCTGGGATACCGGAGAAGAAGTGTTCGCAGCAGGGGTAGGTGGAGGTGAGAAGCCGTTGTAGAACATTTAGGGGCTTTTCCTCTGACCCTGAAAATCACCAGCTGCTGGTGTCTGTTGAGTTGGGGTGGGGAGGTGGGAAAACCCCCTTGGAAGCCCCATTTGGGGCCAACTGACATTCTCAGCCACGAGGTTGGGGATACCTCAAAAACAGCCACAGACTTACCATCCAAGATAACCCTGCAAACACGAGGTCCGCCCCTCGCCCCGCGCCCCCCACCCTCACCTGGCCGAGGGCTGAGGATGCAGACTGTGGATGGGTACAGAGAACCCACCTCTGATCACAAACTGCTGCAGGGACCTTACCTGCTAGAAGGTGGGGTTCAGGTCCTTCCTGACTCTCTGGGGGCGGCTTGAGAATCTGCTTCTCCTAAGGCCCGGGACACGCGGGGCAGAGCCTTCGGGGAACACTGTCTGCCTATGTCCATGCTCCTGTTGGCCCTGAGAGCAGGGGTCAGAGCCTCCAGGCACAGCCCATCTCTGATCCCTGCCACCGGCCTCCTGCCCCTCCAACCCAAGGAAGAGGACCCAGGTGTGGCCAGCGCTGCCTCTAGATGACCACCAGAAGTGTGCACGTCCGGCCAGAGATGTGGCGGGCCACCTCGGGCAGGGGACCTCATCTCTTGGTCCTTGGCGTCTCCTCCCCGGATCTGTGACCTCAGGAGCATGTGCTTTAGCTGGGAAACCTACCAGACGCCGCCCGCCTGGTGTGCTGAGGTGCCACTCCACCCACCCTGGGGCAGCTGGCCGAATGGCAGACAACTTGGCATAAAATGTCACTTCAACTTTGGAGCCACGGCAGAGGGAGGGGGCTGGGTGGACAGGAAGGTCGGGCCTTACCTGCAAGTGCTCAAGGCCTGGCGGGGCTTGGCCGGAGACTAGGAGGCTTCCCGGCCATCCCGGCCTTCTCAGAGTCAGGCTGAGTTCCACTTCGCTCACATTGAGCAGGGCCCCCACTCTGCACTTGCAGCTGTCCTCTGGCCTGTGCGGAGGTGCCAGGAGGAAACCCAAGACTGTCCTCCTCCATCAGGTGGATGCCGAGTCCCATGTGAGGCCCAGGAGACTGCACAGGGGATTGTGGCCAGTTCTGGATATTCCTCAGGACCCAGTGGCCAGATCCTGCCCACTCCCAAAGCCCCAGTCTTGCCTCGGGGCCTTTGCCCATGCTGTTTTCTTTGCACCGATGCTCTCCCACCACATAGTCAGAGGCTGAAAATGTAGAGGCTTCCAGTGGCCCTTCCCGACCCCCTCCCTAAGGCGTCCACCACCATCAGAGCTCTCTCTACCCCAAGTTCTTGAGACACCTTTCACATCGTTCTTATCTCTTTCATTTTCCTCCTGCACTTAGTCATCCTCATCCTCTTTCCCTCAGATACCAGCTCGGCGAGGTAGGAGGTTGACAGAGCTGGGCTCTTTTGCTAAGATGGCAGCCCTAGCTGGGGACAAATGCAGAGCCAGGGCCAGCTGCCAGGCAGTTCCGAGGGGCCGGCGGGATCCTAGGGCATGCCACCTTGGGGACACGGGGCTCAGGCAGGGAGTGGCTGTGGCCCTGGCATGGCAGGGCTGGGGCGCTGCCTGCATCCTGCCTGGTGCAGCTCAGGGCAGCCGCCCCACTGTGCGCTGGACTTCGCCCTCAGTGCCGCCCGCCCTGAACCTGGGCATAAAGCCTTCAGGTGACTTGGAGCCCAGCAGGGTCTGCACACAGCGTGTCTGCCCGGTGACTGCTTGGCCTCCTGCAGTGGCCCAGGGCCCCCTCAGGGCAGTGTGAGGCTCAGCCGTGGATCCTGCAGAGTGGGCGCACGCCCAATGTCATGGCTGCAGCTGCCCCTTGTCCCCTCCCTGCCGCTCCTCGCTGCCCCTGGCCAGGGCCTCCCCTCTGGACCCCGTGCAGCTTCCTCCTGTGGGACGCTCCCCAAGAGAGGGGGATTCCAGGCCAGGGACAAACCAGGCAGCCCAGCTTTGATGCGGCCTCCTGGCCTCCCAAGCAAACTGCCCTCACCAGGGCTGTGAGGAGGTGGCCAACAGGCCAGAGACGGCCTCTCCTACTCAAGGGCCAGGACAGGGCCGGCCACAGGCAGCGGGGAGAGTGGGCAGTGGCTGGGACCCAACAGCAGGTGCGTCTTGGACCTCTGGCAGTCCCTCCGGCAGTCTCTCTAGCAGTCCTTCCACAGTCACACGCTGGGAGGAGCCTAAGCTGGTGGCCCCTCACTCAGTAGCTGGAGGCCCAGTCGGGTTGCTCCATCATCACAGCCCCAGCCCCTGCCTAGTCGGGACGCCAAACTTTGCTAGCCACCACCTGTCTCGCCAGGTCCTGATGAAACCAGTCCAGAGACTCCCGGGAGCTCCCCACCCTTCCCACCTCAGGGCCTTGTCTGTTTCCTGCCCAAGGGAACACCCTTCCCGCCTCAGGCTGAAAGTATGAAGTCCCTTCTGTGAGCCTTCCTGACCCCCATCCTCTGTTCCTCCTGAGTTCTTCACCCCCATCCAGACTCTGGGATCCACATCACAGCCTGCAGGTCTAGACTCTGGGATCTAGGTCACAGCCTGCAGGTCCAGACTCTGGGATC